TGTAGTAGGAGTGGAGTCCATCTGAAGTCTTAAAGAGAAACAAATGCTTATAGTCGTTTACATCATATTTATACCTTTTAGCTGGAAATCAGCAAGTGTGAGATGAGCGAGTTAGTTAATGCCAAACTATATATGATATACTATGATAAATTCACTAACTGATTTTGAAACTTTTATTCCGTTACATCTATATGAGTAAAGTGGAAAATGATCTGAAGCTTGTTTATCGACGCTTTTCTGTGAGGCTTCCTTCTTGTCCGGTGTGTGTTTAGCTGACTGCAGTAGTCTTTCTCTGCCTCATTTTTTTGGACTAAATAGATAAGGAACAAAACATATAACTATTCAAGTATTTGAAAATTCTGACTTTTCCCAAGCTACAATATACTTTTCTGAGCATATGGTGGATATCGTCAGTACTTAAAGAATTTTAAGAATTTTGTTTAATTATAATGAGAGCATAATTAGGCCTGATTAATGATGAATTTTTTAAATATTTTTTTTTAAATGTGGCACTGCTGGTTCCTTATTTACTGACCTATATCCAAAATATGATCAGGAAAGTGTATTGTGACTAGGAATGAGTTTTTTCAGTTTTTTCAAATACTTGAATAGTCAAATGTTTTTCAGTGTTTCACTGAAGTCAGTGTTTCTCATCTTTTATATTATCAAAAGTTTTATGTTATCAAACAAAAAATCTCAAAAAAACCCAAACCTAAAAAATGTGGTGGATATTGTGTATTGTTAAAATGTCTTGAAGTATCACGATGTTACATTTTTTGCCATACTGCCCACCTCTGTTGGTATCTCAGTTGTAACTCAATCAGACCTCTTTCTTCTTTCTTTCTTTCTCTCTCTCTGTCTCTCTCTCTCTCTCTCTCTCTCTCCCTCCCTCTCCCTCTCCGTCCCTCCCTCCCTCCACATACTTAACTTTACTGCCAGGATCAACCGTACCTCTGCTAAAATTATTTCCTCCTGTTTGAAAGCATTGTGTGGTAAGTGTTTGCCCTGTTCACTCTGCAGTCCCCTGGCACAGAAACACTGCAGATAAGGTGGCTTAAAGGAAATACCTGCAACTAAAGGAGGAAGCTGCGGGTGGAGAAGGTGAATTGTTGTGTGTTCAGCAGCCAGCTAGACTTTGGTATTACAGCCCTGTCTTCCTGCAACCTAGAGAAGTTACTTTTGTTTCTTGGGAAATTTGTGACTGAGATAAAAGCCATCCGATCTGTGTGTGTGTGGTGTGTATGTACATGCATGTGAACTATATCAGCCTCTCTGCGCCTACTGCTGCTAGCCTTGAAATCTTTCATCAGTTCTTGCTTTGCTTTTTAAGCTTTTATCTTGCTGACCTCAGTTACACAATTCAGATACAGACTGCTCAAAATGGCCTTTTCACCCCAATGATTTCTTCCATTTCTCTTTTTCTGTTAAGGGTTTCTATTTGAGGTCTGTAAGAGATCAGGTAAAACAGTGAATTTATAGAAACATACTGCCGTATTCCTCCTCACAGAGTGAACTGGCAATCTTGCCTCAAACCAGCAAAATGTCTGGAAGGCTTTAAGAGACTGGTTGCTCTCTTTTTGGTCTTCTAGCTGTTGCAGTTGCCAGACTGGACTGATTGATCCCTGGCAAGGCTATAGCTATAAAGCAGTTTAGCACTTGGCTCAGGTGGCCTAATGTGTTTGGGTCTAATAATGGACTAGGTTTAATTTTTTCCCTCCAGTTTGTTGGTTGACTTGTTTTGCTTGGGTGCTTGTGCTTAGAAAGACCACCCTTCAATTTATTTAATTTCCCATCAGAATGGCCATTAAGTAGTTATTCATTTTTCAGTGTCAGTAAAAAAGCAGAAAACATATACTTACCAGAAAATTACATCCTTTGCCTTTATTACAGCTTCACTTGTCTTCGTGAGGCCTGTCTTAGAAGTTGGTTGCATTTTCTGCACCTCACAATCCAAGTGATCCCAAACATATTAAGTGATGTTGAGATCTGGGCGCTGGGGTGGTCAGTCCATTGTTCTGAGAACACCAGCAGCTTCTTTGTTTCATTTCTAAATGTCTTTTTTTCTTTTTTGTGTATTTCCTATTCTCATTAACAGCTTTGTGACAGCTACGCATCCTTTCAGACACATAGTGTTGAGTTGTCTTCTCACAGTAGGAGGATGGACAGAGACACCTGTGGATTTTTTCAGACGTGAAGCAAGAGTGGTGTTTGATTTTCTCCTACTTTTCAAAGATGGAAGCGTTAATTACTGTATATCTGATGTTGACAGTTTTGATGGTCTAGCATGTCTTGCACAATTGCGAGGATTCACATTTTTTTCTGTATCTTTTAATAATTTTTTGAACTCTAGTTTTGGAAACTCCCCTTTTCAGTTATTTTTCTGATTAATTAAATTTGAAATTTCTTAGGCAAGTTGATTATCTTGTATCTAATCTCAGCAATATTGGAAATAGCAGTAGAAAAGTGAATAACCTATACTTAATAGCCATTTTGACTTGAAATGAAATACATGAAAGGTGGTATATGTTTATATATGTCTGTACACACACATATTTACATATGTGTGCATGTGCCCAACCTCTGTGGGCCCTAAGCTGTTGTGCTTGAGTAGTACCCAGTCATCCGGACTGTACTGACTGGCACTGCTGACTGTTTCATTGTGCTCTCTCCGACTTCCCGGATGTAGCGAGGGTGAGTGTATGTTCTGCGTGTGCCAGGGCATTCCTTAGCCCTTTCTCCTCCTTTGTCTTCCCCCACAAGGCTGCAAAAACTGAGACCTTAAGACCAGCTTCTGCTTTCCACTCTCCAGCTTGGCAGTGCTGTGTGTGGAATGCGTGGATTCATCTTGCTCTGGATGTGGTCTTTGGTTTTTGTGTTTATAATTGTGTTTTAATATATGTATGTTTTTCTTGCGACCTTTTTATTCACCTTGGTTGTCTCTTGATCTTTTGTTGTGGACGTGTGTGTGTGTGTGTGTGTGTGTGTGTGTGTGTGTGTGTGTGTGTGTGTGTGTGTGTGCCCTGTCTAAAGTTTAGCAGGACTTACTCAGTGCCCCTCTAACTAGCTAACCACAGTTGAGAATGCAGGGATCCTTGCTTTGCCAAGTGAGTGTGGGCTACTCCAGCAGTCTGAGCTCTAACCACAGAAACGCCAGGCAGCCCACTGCAGCACTGAAAAACAAGATACCCCCCAGCTAGCCTTGCATACCAATAACCCCCTCTGAGTCTCACACTAGCCCACTACCCCTGCAGTCTGACCTAGTCTCTGTGTACCTAAAAACTGTGATGCAAGAAAAGCACTTACATAGTTTTAAAGTCATCTAGGCGTTAACCCTACTAGGACCACATATTGCATACACCTTTGAACGTTCCTTAATTCTCAGTCATCAATCATAGAAACGAGGAGAAGTTCTATCCAAAAATATGGATTCTAAACATTTCATCAATGCCACATTAGTATTTGTAAACAGAAGATGAGATTTTGTTTGGTTTGAATTAGATGTTCCGTTTTTGCCATGTTTTGTCATTTTTATTTATTTATTTTTTTGGATTTGAAATAAATGACATGCATTAGCTAGCTATGTTTCATTAGTTAACTTGGATTGAGTAGCGCTGAAGTGGAGAAGACAGGTTTTGTACCACATTAGAAAAGCACTTCTGTACAGCTGTAAACAAATTTTGTTTGGCTGGTTGAGCTGTAGTTGAATGTCCTCCACTATGCACTGCGCGATTTTAGAAATCTTGTTCTTTGGTAGCTCACACTGAACGGTTGAATAGACTGATGTGTACATATAAAGCCTGCGTTTTATTTACTCGTGTTTTACGAAAACACTGTCTGATCAACGTACTACATGATCGCAGCCCCTGTAGGTGGCTCTGTCTAAGGACACGTTGTGTACTAAGCAAATATGTTGAGAAACTGAGCTATAGAAGTTCGGCTAACTGTACTGTGCAGTGAAATACACGTGCTAGGACGATACGGTGTCTCTACAACTGGTTTTACCAAGGCAGTTTAAAAAAATCACCTTATAATACTAATGTTTATACCCCGCAGTTCTGTTCAGTTAAACAGAGTAAACTCAGCATACACAGACTTTGGTAGCAAATGTTGACCTTTTTGGTAGCCTGTTAGGGAAGTGGTTGTGATTGTGATTGTGTTTAAAAAGAAGCTAAAATCGCACAGAGTAAGTCTGGCAGAATGTTTAAAATGACCAGACACTTTGTGTCTGACCACCATAGGGTCTGTAACACTTCTCTGTGTGAGCAAGTCCATCTTCACAGCCAGTTTGAGTCATTTGTTTATTAGTGCAGCAGCGCACAATAGGCTTATGTCACATGTTATCAGCTCAACTAACAGATGTTAGTATCGACGCATTGTTACAAGTGTGGGTAAATGAGTACATGTATCAGGCTGATACCCGATACCAGTATCAGTATCAGTGCATCCCTGGTAAGTACATGGTGAGACCTGAGGTGGATAACTCTGTTCTTGGAGGGCCAGTGTCCAGAACAGTTAGGTGATTTCCCTACTCAACAACATCTGATTCAACTCCACATCTCCACAAGGTTTAGTTGGTGTGTTAGATAGGAGTGTAACAGTGCACTCAGCCCAGGCTTCAGTTTGAGTCATAATACTGAATGATTTGGTATTCAAAATAATTCAAATAAAAAAAAAAAGATGGCTGTATCCATGTTGCTGTTTACTATTGAAAATACTAGAGTGAGTGTTGATTGTCACTGGTCGTTTGCAAACTTTGGTGTTCAAAAAATGCAATTGCTATACTTCCCAGTGCTTTCTCACATCTCCAGAGTGCGCATTGTCAAAATTTTGCATCTTGATATCACAATATCACGATTCATTGTTACACCTTGAGTGTTAAAGCAAAGTAATCGCCAAACTGTGCAGTACTCAGGCCATCGCCCCTGTTAAAGACTTCTAAGAAACTACTAAAAATGCATATGGATGTGTTAATGGAGTGTGTATTCTCGTTTCTCTCCCAGACGACAGTATCTCTGCGGCCAGCGCCTCAGACGTGCAGGACCGGCTGTCGTCCCTGGAGCTGCGGGTCCAGCAGCAAGAGGATGAGTTGACGGTGATGAAGGCAGCGCTGGCCGATGTTCTCAGACGCCTTGCACTGTCTGAGGACTCGGCAGCCAAGAAACAGCAGAGCACCAAAGGTAGGACAGCATTGTGTAGGTGTGGGTTATATAAAAGATAACACTCTAGTCTTAGATGTGTGCGTGGGTGTGTAAGCTTTTGTGGTAGAGGTGCAGGAATAGAGTTAGACCAGTATCTGTTTCCATGACCCTCAGTATAAGATGTTTTCATTTAAATTGCAACTGGGTGTGTTTGTGTGTGTGCATGGGACTAAATTGAGGGGATTGTTTGTTTATGTGCCGGTATCAGATTTGCCACTCTGACCTCAGGAAAAACACTGTTAGTATGTGTTTTAGAACTTATATTTATGGTTACAGAAAAAAAGTGCATTCCAGCCAACACTGTTTCATCTGGTTGTTTTTTTCATAGAACCTTTCAGTGGATGGTTCTTTAGAGAACCATTTTTGTAAATGAGATGTTTGAGAAGTTTTTTAAGGTTTAAAGGGCCCATATCATGAAAAATGAGTTTGAAAAAAATGAAAGAAGAGTTTGATGTAGAAGGTAAACACTGTAAAAAATCCACTAAAAGTAAGAAATTAAGATGCAGAAACAGCCTATTTTGAATCAATTGGTTTTGTGAAGTCATTAAAATTAAGACATTTATGTAGTTCATCCCCGGCCATTCACGCTGAAGATTTTTGAATGTGCCATAATACAGGGCAGCCAGTCAGAACAGAGCTTATATACATACATCAGTCTTAAAGGAACAGTAATACAAACAGCCCTTTTAATTAGGGATAAAAAGAGGTTGAAAAATGGTCATGAAAAGGGAAATATGACTGTACTTGGTACATAAAAAAACAGAAATATCTTGATTGGACAAAAATATAATACAAGAAAATTGTAGGATACGGGTCCTTTAGAGATTCTCCACACGTAACCCTTTAATTGACGTAGAGCCTTTACATTTTGTCATGGTTCTTTAAATGTTTAAAAGGACTTCACATTTACTGATCTCTTGTCAAACATGGTTCCTTAAGGAAATAAAGAATGGTTCATCTGTGACACCGCTCAAAGAATCCTTTATTTTTAAGAGTGCAACATGACTGCAACTTTATAACATCCCTTTGTGTCACTTTCAGTCACTTTCCCATATGGCAAAATATATGGCGACATGGCAAAAATTTAATATGACACTTAAAGAAATTTTCAAAATAGACAATGTGTGTCACATTATTTAGTTTTTTTGAGGGTTGATAAGTTGGAACAGAGGAAAAAGCACCAATAGTGTTGCATTATAAAACACTACCAAAGTCTATGAATACAATGATTTGATTTTATTTATGTGCTGCCCTGCACCCAGTTAAACAGGACTGATTATCCATGCAGTTGTTCAGTATCCACCATAGCTGATAAAAGTATATTGTGACAAAATTGTATTTTGACCTTTTTCCGTCTCTTTTTCTGTCTCTCTTAAACTTATATGCTTTCTTTTTGCCTCAGCACTCTGTTCAGTTAGATAAAACTGATGAACAAAACAACAAAAGCTGATTGAGACTGAATTTAGATTAAAAGCAGCAAATTGTGTAAATTTGTAGTTTAAAGCAGAAACAGAAAGGAAGAGGAGCACAGAGGAGAGAGGGAAAAGAATCTGTCTTTCCTGACAAAACTGCTGGCACTGTCTTAGCTCTCATCCGCTCACCACCCCCTCCTTTCCCGTTCCCACTGCGCTCTTCCAGAAGCTCTGGAACTGTGTGTGTGTGTGTGTGTGTGTGTGTGTGTGTGTGTGTGTGTGTGTGTGTGTGTGTGTGTCACCTATGGACACTGGCGAACACTTATTCTACAGTCATGCTTCAGAAACAATTCCCACCCTTCTAACTATTGTGTGCTCGCAAGGGAGAGAAAGTGAGTGGGAGTGTTTTTGAAACTTTTGGACCTCTTTTCTCTTAGTAGAAGTGATCTCCTCTTTCCCATAGAGGAAACAGATGGGAATGGCTCCTAATCTACAGTTTGGAGTTCTTTTTAAAGCCTCAATCAGAAACACAGTCCAAGTTTTAGTACAGTGGTCGCTCCAGTAATCGTGTGGTGGCAGTGGTGCCTTTTTAGCTATTCCATATTCCAAGTTTATGAAAGATAATAGTTAAATGTGACTGAAAAGGAGGAACTGAGAAAAAGAACTGCTGTTTTTAATCATTGTGCCAGGTTGAAACTCCAAAGAAGAAGAAACCATTGTCTTAGTAACTTCTCGATTCTGAGACTTGACTCAATTATGTGGAGTGTGCTTGCATGTCCCCTCATTTCTGTTTGTCATCTACAGCTGTGTTCTCAATCTCATTTCAGTTTTTCTAGTGAGATTCCAGAAGCTCACTAATTGTACCCCCAGAATAGGCACCTCCTTCTCCTCAATCTCTGTATCGTTCCCCCTTTTCCTCTCTCACCCTCTGCGTTTAAATGTCAAGGCTGACTCACAGCTCCTATCATAATCCATTCCTTTATCTATTCGCTTGCGTTTCCCATTATGCTTCTCCACTAAGAGATCTATTTCTCTTCTCACTCTTTCCACTCTCTTGTGAATTCTTCTTTCTTCCCCAGATCAGCTGCTATTAAGGCTGTTGAAATGGGCTTTCTCTGTGCAGTCTCTAACTGCTTCACATGCACTAAGTGCCTGAATGAAATACTGTTAATACTGTTGTCATCCCATGCATAGTATTGGTGTAATGATTTTTACATGAGCCCCAACCCTCCCTGCATCCAGCCATGCTAGTGCCTTCTAGCTAGAAACAGTACAGTAGTTGCTTCTGGTTTAAAATGGGATTTACAGTAAGTTTATGTTCATTGCTCTCTGTGCAGTTGTGATTAAAGTCTGATTAAGGGTGGTCTGACATCTATGTTCTTGCTCCCGCTGAGAATGTCTGATTTTGTTGCCGGCCAACTGCGTTTGAGAGTTTCTGGGGGCAGGGCAAGAAGAAGCCAGTGACATGCTGTAGATGGAAGACAGAGATTTCCTTGGTTTCCTGTGGGTGTTAGGAGGTCACATGTGGGCCCACTGTGAGACTCTGCAGGCCCACACACACGCAGACACACACACAAACACTGCAGGTCACCTTGTGTCTGGGTGGTTGAGTTGTGCTCTTCTCCTAAATGTACTACAGCATCTGCAAGTGACTATGCAGTATATTACTACAGGCAACTCACTGCTCACAGCTCTACATAATATAACAGAAATTATAGAAAAGTCTCTGAGGTAAAAGTTTGTGCCTATATACCTCCTAGTGACCTGAAATGTCATAAATACAAGTGATATAAAGTGATGCTGGGCAGCGGTGTGAAGTGTGAAGCTGCATTAGTTGGGCTAATGTCACTTATTCCTGAAATGTAAGGTTTTTGGGGAAGGAGTTGTGACAAAATCTCTGGACAGTATTGTGAAGATGCTAGTCAGTGTGACTACTCTTAGAAAATGTCAAAGAATAGACTTAAGTAAGATTTATATATGACAAATTCACAATAGATAAATGAACGTTATCATCAGCTTTTTCTTAAATAAATTTGTTTTTTCTTAATTTAATATGTACATGTAACATGACTTTTACCCTGATTTTATCCCTGATTCTCACTGTAGATGAGTCTGTACTGTCCATGACCCTCACTGCTGCTTCAGAGCTATGTAATGATCCCAAGTCATTTAGTGCGTGATGCCCAATATTTCAGTCGTCCCCAAAACCATCTGTGGAAACCAGTATGAAAGTGTGAAATACCTAGTCTTCTTATAATCTGTTAGGACTTGTAATTCATGTAGTATATCCAAGGCTTAATCCAGTTTACAAACGTTCTGAAAAACTGATGAATTGCTGTTAAGTTAGTAATTCACACTCATATTTTGATGCAATTCATTAATGGCATACAATAAACACAACATGGGCATGAGCTGAAGAAATCACCATTCAGAGATCCCGTTGTTCAATGGAGAAACAGTATTGTACTCCTGCATATCCCCCCACACACAGACGCACGCTGCCGTCTGATGAGACCAGCCACATGTTGTTTGTGTTTTTGTTGGGAGCTAATTGAGCATTAAACTGGGCCATGTGGCACTGACATCAGATCAGCCCCCTCCCCAACACACACACGCACGCACAAAGACAGAGACACAGATACATCCTTGCAGGAAGATGTAATTAATCAAGCCTGCTTCACAAGGTTACAGGCCACAGTTATACAATGATTAGACGGGTCACTGCTGTACTACAAAGGAAACAAAAACGCAATGCGCTGACCAATGCCAAAGTCCTTATAGGAAACTCTGTTCGCTCAGTGGCCATTTTGGCAATGGAGCCGGGCAGTTATTTCCAGTCATACAAAACTAGGCTCCTATCTCTTTGAATAGGGAGTGACCAAAAAAAGGTCAAAATATATCACTGGTAAAATCTAACATAATCTGACATAATCTAAAAATCTGATAAACCTCATAAATAGTTTGTAGTATTTGGGTCAAATAATGCATAAAATCATGTTTTTCAGGATGGCCTGCACTCTCAGAAAAAAAGTTATGAAGCTCCAACTGGGTCAGTACCCCTCTTGTCACTGGAGTGGTACCCTTAAGGGTACATCTCAGTACCTTTAGTCAAGGCACATAATTGTACCATAATCCATTGAAATTATATTTTCTAAATTGTATTGACTCCACACACCCCGTCTCGTCTCCAGGCTTTTTATTTTACTGTTCTGTTTTAAAATATTATGTTATGAAAAGGTAGAAATATGTACTTTTCACCTGGAAAAACGTATTTAAGGTTCACAATTGGACCTTAAAACCAGTGTTGTACCTTAGAGGGACATTTACATTGTTTGTACCTTGATGAATGAAAAAAGCACCTGCACAGCACCTTTATTTCTAAAATAAAGTGTGGCTACTGCTTTTGTGAAGATCTCAACAGCGAGGGAGGGCTTTACCCAGTAGGGGCTTAATCTGTTAGCTGATTGGCTCTTTTTATTGAAGGACAGGACGTTCTCCACAAACAGACACCATGTTGAGCGTCACAAGCTTTCCCATTCATATTTCAGCTTAGTGACATGTCTCCTCCTTAATTCATTGCTGCATTACTTAGATGTCTAATGTTAAATATATATCCATATCTATTACTTATGCTTGGAGTTTGTTGTTGCCTGGTCTGGGCTATATGTGTGCTCTGGGTGGGTATTCCTTATTATCGTCTGAGTTGACTCTTCTGTTTTGTTTGCTATCATGTTGTTTTTCTTCAAGGAGTGGTAGGGCTCTACTTAAGTAGTCCAACTTGTCTGGCCTAATCCCTTCCTCTTTGATCCAATTACCTTGTCTACATCCTGTCCTCATTTAGCTACCCTTTACTCTGCCTTCGTTCTCGACCTCCCCTCCTCCTATCTGCCTTCCTCATCTCCACTGTAAATCACATTACAGTCACTGTCCTCATTTATCCTCCTTCCTTTTGGTTGTTCTCTGTTGACTAATCAGGTTTCATCACTATCCATCAAACAACTCTGGATGAAGTCATGCCTAATGAAAAATGATTTGATGGCCAATATATGATTAAGTTCAGCTAAAGCATCTGCAGAGAGATAAGCCTGTAACAGTAGCCATTAGATATATTTCTAGCACCTTGACTGCATTACCATAAATAATAATGGAACTCTCATAACTGCTCATAACTCCTTACTATAATGAGAGAGAAACACTCACTGACCCTGGATTTGTTGTGCAGGTCAGACCCCACTGCGTGAGGCCTTCTCCATGTCCTGTATTGCTAACGGCAGCTCCAGTGGCCGCAAGTCCCACAGAGACAGCTCCACGGTGTCTGTAGCCAGGAAAGAGACGCTGTCCTCCGCAGCCAAGAGGTAACACATACTCACATGCACATACAAAACCACAAAGCAAGCAAAATCAGATCTAGCACTTTGCAAAACACTTGCTCCTATAACACAGTACACACTAAGGATACGGCCAGTGCTGTTGGGTAAAAAAAAGTATGAATTTCATTTTACGTCATTTTTAATAAACAGCTGTACCTATTTAAAAAGGTAGTTTGATCATTTTAGGTGGAGGAACATTTCTTGAATGATGCATTAGGGTGCAATAGGTAATTGGTTCCGCTAAATACTAAAATTTAAGCACACAGCTGAAATTAGTAGTATTCTGGACTACTTTTCAAGAGGACTATGCCCCAGCTACATTGATGGCAATATCAAAAGCAAACATCTGCAAGTGATATGGCAACTATTTTGTTCATGGTCTTGGAGAAAATATATGATGCTTGATGGTGTGAGAAAATCATACATGGGAATGCAACAATGATTTTATTTTGACCAAACCATTGACTGACTAATCGTGGACTAGCGACAGTTGGTTACTGGTCAAAAGAATTTGCCAAAATTTGCATCCCTAACACATACAGAATTATTCACAGTGTTACAGTCTTGTATCCCCTCATGTTGACCAAGACCTAACTACCATATCTAATTACTGTATTATTACCCTGGATCTCTGTGAGAGCATCAAACCTGCTAAAGATTTATTTCACAGCTTTCAGTGATTCAGTGAAAAATTGCTCTTGCTTACAAAGCTCATAATTATGTCTGGGCTTTGACAGCCCAGTTTGATTGGTATTAAGTGCCTGTCAAAGTGTATAAACTCTTGGATAAAGAGCAACACTTCCTTGTTTGTAGAGTTATTGTAGATATTTGTCATTCGTGTGTGCTGAAATTGGGCCAGTTCCCTGATCACTGGCAATGAACACAACTGCAGTAAATTTGGTCAGCTGACCTGTAAGACATTGACCTGGAAGTCCTGTTCTGAGAGCTTCTTCCTTTTTGTCACAGTGTTTGCCACTGCTGTGCTGTACCAACTGTGACGTATGCCAAAGATGAAGTGCTTGTGCATGTTGATGTATTGGGCATTTGCGGTTTTCTTTCCTCCGTTTGAATTATGCATTATTTCTGTAAAATATTTCAGTGTTTGTCCATTTGACCTCAGTATTGACCATTTCTGTCCCATGGCCTGCTCTGTCCCTGGTTGATGGATTGCTGTTTTGCAGTGGTGGCGAGAAGAAAAAAGACAAGCCTCCGATGGAGGGGATCAAGGAGAAGGAAGAGCCACCACAAGCTAACGATAAACCCCCTTCAACACCCAGCACCCCCCAGGCACCATCCCCCTCCAGCCACCCCCCTTCCCCACACCCCCTACAGCCTCAGAGACCGGCACTGGAGAGCAAAGGGCCCTCCCCAGCCAAAAGGTTCCTCCCAACGTCCGTGCAATGTTTCTGCAGCAAGCCGCAAAAATCTCACAACGCACTTTACCTGTGGCTAAAGGGCAGGACTGGCATGCTTCCCACATCAATATCATCTCAATTGCGCACACCCATATTAAGTTTCTTTGTTACAATGAAATCATCTACTTGTAGTCCAAACCTTCTCAAACAAAGACACTACACTTCATAATTTGTCAGAGATTAGAGTTAATGCCTAATATAGTTCTCTCTGTAGGTTCTATCAGTTTTACACTAATGAAGATGTGAGCCACAGAAGGAGAGGATCAGTGAGCTTTAAGGATAATGCTCCTACTAAAGAGAACAAGTTTGATGCACTGTCAAACGATTTCACAAAGATTACTTAAGTCTTTAAGGAGCAGCAGAGCCGCATCATGCTCTCCGTTTACTCATTCTGACCTTTGCTGCAGGTCTAGAGTTTGTGGATTTGAGTGCCACTTTAGCATGAATAGTCCACTGATCTCATACCAACTCTGGTCAGTTTGGATCTGTCCACCCAAAGAAGGAGGAGTAATGGAAAGCAGATGTCCCTACTGCCCTAATCTGTAACCGTGCATTAGGCCACCTGATATATTGTGAGGCAATGCCCCTACCTGTAGCGAGCAATCAGGCTTACGCATTAGCTCAAGTGCGCTTTGACACCATAAGTAATCATTTCAGCGCAGAGGCGGTTTGCTGAGATATTCATACTAGTCATGCCACCCGTCCAATCCAATTAGTTTAAGAGGCATAGCAAACCAATTAGCCTTTTCCTTAAAACTTGAGCCGTGGTTGTTAGGCTGTGTGAAGAATAAATTATTGGTCAAGGCCCAGCCATAGCCAGGAGAATTAGCCATGCAAAGCATCTGCAAACAATTGTGTTAGTGTGGGGACTTGAATGATGAGTGCTCCACTCCCACTGCTGTAAGTGGATAGCCGTTACACGGCTAGTAGGTTTCAGGGTAGTGCTGGAAGACCACAGAACACGTATTGACTATGTGGACTCTTAAAAGTCTTTGTGTTATGATTAGTTTCAGACATTATCAAACACTGATTAGTTTCTACTCAACTGTTGTTAATGCAATAGAAAAAGAACTGTTGAGTGGAGGTTTGTTTTGTAGTCTTAAAAGTCTCAGAGTGAGCAACTGGCAGGTGATCTGCCAGTGGTGACTAGCATTCTTATTAACATTCTCACTGAAGTGTGCCTATTGTAATGTAAAAGGACTCTGAGGCTTCTAAGGAACAAATTCGGCTTCTCTCACTAGTGTTCATCTATCAAGAGATTTTTTTTAAGTCATTTTTGTGACTGGGAAGCATGTCTGCTCTGCTGGACATCAAACAGTTCCTCTTCTGCTCCCTTATTGCCCAGGGTTAATGGGGTAGGGGGTGGGAGTTGTTTGTATGATATGCCCTGCTGTGGGCCATTAATGGACTCTCTGTGGGTGTTTGTGTGAGTGTGTGTGTGTGTGTGTGTGTGTGTCTGTGTGTGCATTTGCATGTGTGCGAGGGAATCACCCATCATGCTTTTACTGAATCCTTCCAAACAGCTATGCTTACATGCAAATGAAAACTCCACCACTACTCAGCGTAATATTGAGAATAAAGTGTTTTTACTTTTATGTGGTATTCAAAATTGAATTAGTATCAAAAAGCTATTTTTTACTTTTAATATCCAATAAAGGAAGTGAAGGAAGTGCACTTGAATCTACCAAATCAATATCAATCCAATACCTCTCTATTCTGTCAGTACATATTTAAATTTAGACACTAATTTCTGTAGCAATGTTATTATACTTCATAGTAAACATTAAAGTATGGGTACAAGTTAATCCCTTGAATTTAAGAAAAATTTTGAAATTAACAAAGCCAGAATACAAGTACTGCAAGTTATCGGAGTGTGATTAGCCTACGAAAGTGCGCAAAGGAAAGCATTTCCTATCAAGAACAGTGGTCATACAGTTTATGTTCTGAATATGAAAATGAAGACTATGAATAGACCATGAATCATTTACTGTACATTCAATTTATCCACTCTTAATGTGTAGATGTATTGGATGGAGATCAGTGTTGTTGGGGTGATCCAGCGTGCACCTTTGTTTTCATGCTATTAACAATTTCTCCTTACACACAGCTTCGCATGAGGATTGCTCTCCTCCTTACTCCTTTATTCCTTTTCTTCTGTACCATTTTACCTCTCTTTCTTCTCTCAGCTATTTATTTGTGCTTTCACTGTCTTGTCCCTTTAGCTCTTCTGTGTGCCTTTTTACTGTTTTATCATATTAAATGACTGGGGCTGGGGTTCTCAGCTGACCAGCGTGTGTACTAACAACTAAATGGGGGTGCTTTCTCTTGTGAGCCTGGCCTAATGCATGCACGGACCCTTTCTGGAGGGATGTGTAAACTCATCACTGTGTCTTCCGTGATGAAGGCATGGTTTTGCTTTTTTCTGCTATTTCAGGTTTGTGATTAACCAAAGAGCAGGAGAGGTATGTGCATATGGAGGAATGAATTTGGTGTAATTTGCGGTCTGAATTCAGTGAATTATGTAAATTAAGCTCTAAGTGATTTAGTCATTCAGATAGGGGTAGATTTTCATGTGGGTTAAAAGAGAGCATGCCTCCAGTCTCACCATGCCTCTCCATTTAATTACAACACTTTTTTCTCATCTTCTTGACCTATATTCAGCACATCAGAGTTTCTCCTTCCTCTTGTTTTTTTTTTTTCTGCAAATGGAAGACTAGCATGTTTTTTGTTCTCTTTGCCTCATCAGCAGGGGCCACAGTGCGAAGCGGGGTGGAGGAATGGAGCGTTCTCAGAGCAGCACATGGGAGAGCGGGGAGGAAAGCAGGAACAAGCTGGTCAAAGCTGCCTCCACCTCCAAACTGCTGGCCAAAGTTGTGAAGAATGCAGAGAAGTTAGTAATATATGAGTACTCTTCGTCCCTTCCTTTCTGGCTGTCCCAGATTCAGAGAACTTCTTGGCTTTCATAAATAAGCCTCTTTTTAAATGTTTTTTTTTTTTGTTTTCTCAGACACAGAGATCCAGTTATCAGCCAAGGTAAAGATTATTTTCTTTCTTGCATTAGCACCAACCCCACCTCCCTGGCCCTACCTGTCTTATAATTACTGTTGTCAGTCTTGTGGTTGTCAAATCATTATAGCTGTTTTCTTCCTCATCTGTATCATCCTGTGTTTGTTTTGAGAATTGTTATTTCTGTCCCATAACCAGCCAAAATGTCAACTCGTGAGAAAAACAGTCAAGGTAAGCTCTTCCACCCTGCAGGGCAAAGGCAGCCGTCAAAATGAGCACATGCTCACCGTCTCTCGCTTCTGGCTGGACTACATGCACTTCTTGCTTAGATTCCTTATTAATTAAGTTTGCTTTTTTGGCATGGCTAAATATAGTGTGCAAATTGAAAATGATTTAAACACGTAATGGCCTCCCCTAATAACGCGTTGATCAAAGAAAAAGATCAACGAGCCTCCCTCCTTTTGCTCTCTTTCCACTCTGACATGGTTCAGTACAGTTTCTCTGCCTCCCCATCTTTCATTGGTAAATTGATTATATATATTTATATATTTATTTGATTTTATATATATATATATATATATATATATATATATTATAAGCGGATGTCCTTCTAGGTTATAGGGTAATGGAAAACACTCACATCCTATGTGCATGTCCTTAAAATAGTGCATCTGGTGTAAAATTGGTTTGTTAGCCAGTGAAAGCTCATTAATAGTGGAATGCGACAGTCAAAGGACAGCAATGCTAGTGCAGCTTTACCCTCAGACTAAGTCAGTAAGTTGAAGAAAAAAGTGTTTTCACCAACTATAGGAGAGGTCCTACTGAAATTCAGAAAAAGTTCTCGTGTAAAAACACTCACTCTGTCCTGAGGAAAAGGGTAACATTACTAGGTTAAAAGCATGGTTTTTCGGCCTACATGCAAGGCCTTTGTCAGATGTCTGATTGCACCTTTTCACCAAAGTCAGTAAATTCCACACAAAGGCCTTCTGGGACATGACTCAAATAATACACGCTGGTATGCTTACAAATACTTTTTGTAAGTATTAGTTTGGTAGGCCAGAGACCTTTGCTCATTTAAATGGCTTTTAAAAGATGGCAACACCAATTTGAGGGAAAGACTGTTTATTTTGCAGCAGTGTGCATGCACCATTACAGCCTAAAAAGAAGGAAGTTCACAGAATAGAAAGAAATGGGAGAGAAGAGAAAACCATAAAACACCCTTGAGCTCACACAGTCTCACTCCTCCTCCTACCTCTAGGCCGTCATTTCATTTTTCTCTCCTCATGCTTCTGCCTTCCCGTCTCTTTAATCCCAGCCTAGTATAGGCGTCCAACCCACTGCTTTTGCCCTTCTGCACGGCACTAAATTTCTCTGTCTCTTTTGAGTTGCTTGGATTTCAGAATGAGTTAAGGGCATGTGAATTTAACTAACTTCGTCAAGAGTTTAATTTAGAGGCTTTTTAAAACACTGTTACCCTTTTAAGATTTGGAGAAAAGCAAAGGCGATTAAAGCTTATGAATGTTGTGCTCAGGAGGTATTTAGTGCACTGTCCTAAGTAAAACATACTGTGTTCACTGTGTCCAATTAAATAAATATAAGCATGTGTTTTATTTGGTTATTTTGGTCTAAGATTAACTGATCATGATACCAATATGTAAATCTGTGATTATATTATCACTAATTTATCATCTGCATAATGCAATTGCCACCTTAACCTCTCACCTCTGACTTCTCTACAGAGGGTGACTATATCAAAATGTTCATGCGAGGACGTCCCATCACCATGTTCATCCCATCTGATGTAGAGAACTATGAAGACGTCCGAACCGAGCTTCCCTCAGAGAGGCTCAAACTGGAGTGGGTGTATCCTTTCTAGAAGCTTCTGCAGTTTTGCAGTTGTCTCTGTTAACCCCTTCATCTGCAAGGGCTCATATTCCTCATTTTAACTCAATAACTTACATATTAGTTTCATAGTAGTGACCAAATAATTTAGTAAAAACAGTAATTGCTGAAAAAAATCCAAGATTAGTAACTAAATAATAAGCCTGTTAGGAGTTAAAGCTTACAGTGGCGTTTCACAATGCTTTCTCTTACTGCATTGTCAAGTGTTCTTTTCTCCTTGACTCAGTAGGGCAGATATGGCTATAGGGGGCGAGACTGCAGAGCAAATGTTTATCTGTTGCCTACAGGGGAGATAGTCTACTTCATTGCCTCAGTGGTTGTACTATTCAACTATGATGAGCGGACACAGCGGCATTACTTAGGACACACTGACTGTGTCAAATGGTGAGACCTCACTCTGGCAGACATGTACACTACAGTTTTAAAAAGACCTGATTTTTTGATGGAAACCCACAAAAGTCTTTCTAACCCTGACCGGACCCACAGCAATAAGTCTTAAATCCAGGCCCCAGCCTTCACAGTTCTGTCAGCACCTGACCTGTACTTGTCTACCATCAACTGGAGACTGAACTAAACACCTCATTGATAGTAAGCTGCCTTAGTGACAGTGTTAAATTGTCAGTAATGGCGCTGACATCAAATCATCACTAAACAAAATAAATAAAATGTCCAAAATTAAGTTTGATTCCACTTTAACAAATGCATTCATCAGTCAGTGCCAAAATTATCTAAAATAATAAAAGTCAGGAAGAAGAATAAAAGCAGGGTAAATGCAAGCCAAAACTGTTTGAGAAGACTGTGGGCTATGAGACACCCAAACCTGAAATTTGAACCCGACCTGAGCCTAACAATTATTTGAGAAATAATCTTTAAACCTGAGGGGAGTAGTCAGGTTGCTTTGGATCTCGACAAGTTCTAATGCACGCACGCATCCATAAATTCAAACAAACACAAAGGCAATCATGGTGGAACATAATATGTAAGTAATCAGCTTGCATTTTCTGTCTGCCAGCCTTTGATGGCTGAACAGTAGAAGATAAGCAGTGTAAGATGGAAAAGAGATGAAAATGGCTGCCATTAAAAACATGAGCTGTTGTGATAGTAGTACTCTAACAGTGATCTCTCCTCGTCCTCAGTGCAGATGTTGATGTTAACGAAATGTTCGTCTGACGTCTACCCAGTGGGTGGTCTACAGCTATATTAAATTCACCAAGCTGCACCACTGACTATAATTCAGAACAGCTCACATAAATGGCTTAACACTCTTGAAAGATCACGTGTGGATATCCATCATGCCAGTGATTGTATTTAGTCATCAAGCTTATTTCTACGCTAAAGTGAAGTCAAAATACACGTTTAATGGTTCTACATGTACCAGCCATAAACCTGTTAATCTTATTGAATGTTCTCCGTTCTTGCTCTCTACCAGTCTTGCTGTTCATCCAGATAAGATACGTATTGCCACAGGACAGATCGCAGGAGTGGACAAGGACGGCAGGGTAACATATACATGCACAAACAACCACATGCACACAGAAACCCCACAAAGCTGCATTATCTGTATCAAAATTCAGTCGGGAACAATACATGCATTGTTCATATTGGTATATTTGATTACATCTGTTTATTGTTGGTGTGTTCTCAAGTGAGCTTTTTTTTTATTATTTTTTTGCACACCTCTTTGTGTTCTTTTGTGTCCTTTTCACATGGCAGGACCATAGGATCAGTGCTCACTGTATTATAAAGATAGGTCATGCATTATATGGAAAAATGCACATAAATATAGCAAACCAGGCTTAAAGTTCAGCAGTTGGCCATCTCTAGCTCTCTCGATGCACCTTTTATATTTCAATATATCTCTTTCCTTCTCATATCTGTAACACAATACAGTGGAAACATGCTGTTGCAGTTCTGTGTAATCCTTGCTTGAAACTGAAAACCAGGATCTGACAATGATTAATGCCAACACCCCCCCTTTTCTCTCTCTCTCTCTCCCTCCCTCCCTCTCCCTCTTTCTGCTCTCTCTCTCGCACACTTTCTCTCCCTCTCCCTTACCCTCCCTCCCTCCCCCTAGCCACTGCAGCCTCACGTAAGAGTGTGGGACTCTGTCACTCTGACCACCCTGCAGGTCATCGGCCTGGGCACCTTTGAGAGAGGAGTGGGATCCCTCGCTTTCTCTAAAGCTGTGAGTCTTTGTTCATCATCCCCTAATTTGCTGGTTCTTGAACTTCAAAAAGTAAAACATGAGCAGTTTCAGAAGCGCAGGTCTGAGTTCTACACTTGGTTCTGGTGTTGTGGTTCTCTTTTGGTCTAGACCTGTTTGTGTGTTTAAATTATGCTAGTGGGTCATGGTGTGCTGATAGCGTAGAGGTGTAAAATGCCCCACAGAGAGTCTAATCAGCCAGATATTAACGTTCCTCATCTCTCTTTTCAGCCCTGTTCCTGCTTCTGGTTCACAGCCAGGACACAGATAGAAAGCATCAACCTTAGAAATATCATACAATATTGATAAGGTTAATGCTTTCTGTCAACCTTAGAAATATTGTATGAATTAGACTTTGCAGGATGTTAAAAAGTGAACACATTTTGTCTTCTCTGCCAGTGACTGTTGTAATTCACATTTATATAGCTACCCAAAAACAAAAAGATTAATTTACACTCTTAGCAAAAGCTCAAAAGAAAGTACACATTACAGCTTTTGCCATTTTTGTATCTGGAGATGAGATTTAATGATGTACTGCAGTATAAAACCAGTTAAAATTTTACCAGGTGAAATCATAATAATTCTGTCATGCAGAGTGTGCGCCAGAACAATGCATTGTTGAATAATTATAACCTGAACACAAAATAGTACCAGTGTTATTACTATCTCATATATAGATCATAATATATCTTAATAATGTAAATTGTATTTTCATATATTCCTGTGTTATTAAGAAGTGTAAGTCCAATAAAATATAATGTTAAACATGTAGTGAAATGTTTTAATGTTTATTAGTGCTTTTAAAATATTTTCAGTATGTTACAGATAATTCCAAAATCCTGATAAATTTGCCCACAGATATCATGAATGGGAATTTTCATACTATCCCATTTCCAGTTAAGTCACAGTTTCACTGATCTGTAAATTTTTCATTTTTTATGGTAAAGATTTCAAAACTGCTAAACAAATTGAAATCTCTTTGTCTGTAAGTGTGATATTGCCTTCTGAGGTCATCTACTGCTAGATTGCTTGAACATTAAAATGAAATGGTAAAACACCTCAAGGTCTTCTACAGGGCAGCCTTTATTTACTTTTTCAGTTTAACATTTCACTTGGTCTTTAGGTTTGATATTTTTTAGCTATCTTTTGCTGTGCTGAGTGTTTTTGTTGTTTTAACCCAGTCTTTTGTATTAGTCTTACTTTTTTAGTTATCTCTATTATTAGGTTTAAAACATATTCAGTGATTTATTTTTCTACACCCTTCCTTAATCCATTCTTTTGCTTTTGAATTTTTAAGCTACAGCAAATACATTTGGCAGAATCATTCCTGTCTTGATTCAAACAGTACATTTCTAGTACTCTTTTACTGCCTCAATTGCATGAAATTGTCAAGCATGGCAATTCCCAAGTTATTTGTTTCTGAACTAATGTAATAAACTCATGTAACTAGCATAAAGTTTCTCAACAAATTTTAAAGTCTAGTTTTTATTATCGTGTCTTTGAGAACAACCTGTCTCATTTACCATTCACACGAGTCATGTTTAGATTTTTTTTACATTGTGTCTGTAAAACACTTCAAACACTTTATCAGTCACTGCCTTAACATCTGTATAGTGTTGACTCACAATATGTTAATGAAAACGCTGATGCATGTGGACATTTCAAACATTCCAAACAGTCAAAAGGATGTGGGTTTTCATGAGTCTGGTTTTAAGCAGATGTTTGGAGCAGTTAGGGGAGCAGAAATCAAGTCCAACACTAAATTGTTTCTGTTGTGTGTTTTTGCATGTGTTCAGGACTCTGGCACCCACCTCAGCGTGATTGACGACTCCAATGAGCACATGCTGACTGTGTGGGACTGGCAGAAAAAGTCGAAAATTGCTGAGATTAAGGTATGATACCATATACTCTATGTGATTAGTCTGCACCCTTAAGCTGTTTCTCATATTTATTCTTCCCCTTTCACACACAGATTTTGAAAACCTCCCTGTCTGTTATCCCTCCTTGCCGCACTAACCACCTCTTTCCAGTGTTTTTTTTTATTTTTTTTTTCCAGTGTTTGCCTGTTGCTGTCCTGGTTATTCTGCTTCTCTCATGTCGCTGTATGACATCAACATAACCTTTTTCCCTGACCCATACATTAATTTCAGTTAGTCTCTTCCTTCCTTCTTTCCCCTGGTCCCACCCCATTCCATGTTTAGCCTGTTCTCCTTAATGTTGTGTGTAATGTATGTATGTATCTCTATCTCTCATTCTCTCATTCTCTTTTTCTCTCTCTCACTCTCTCTCTTTTAGACAACTAACGAAGTGGTCTTAGCAGTTGAGTTTCACCCCACAGATGCCAACACCATTGTCACCTGTGGCAAATCACATATCTTTTTCTGGACATGGAGTGGCAACTCTCTGGCTCGCAAGCAGGGCATCTTTGGGGTCAGTACACATACACCCACACCCATGCACGTGCACATGGACACACGCACACACAGACTCATACACTCGTGCACTTGTGACTCATCCACTTATAGAGGAACTTTATCAGTTCCACAAGTGTGGGCTTGCAAATGATTGTATGTTAGGGTGGACAGAGTTTGCAGAGAACATGCAAATTCATACATAGACACAGAGACATTTCCAGATAGGCTTGCACTGGCAACAGAATCTTCTAATTTGGATTGTTGTGTGGAGAAGAGCTGTGGTAAATGGTTAAACTGAGGTCCAGGAGGTGGGGGTAGGGGTATGGTTCCTTTGTTTTGCCTTTTATTAGCCAAAGATTAAGCTTCAATTCACACACCATCACTTTGGTCTGGCATCTGGTGTATTGGAAGAAAAAGGGGTGCTATTATTCTTATCTCTGCAAGTACCTCTGCTGGTGCTTCAAAGAACATCACTGATGATGTGCCCAGGAGCATTAACTGATATACATCCAGGGATAAGAAGTTTAATCTTTGTCAAATAAAACAACATAAAAGCATAGTTCAGTAAAAGTTTGGTTGCAGTATATTATTGTCAATTTGGCCATGAAACTGTAAGTAATCTAGTAATAATGAACAGAATTGTGAATGTCGCATAAACTTTACTGTCTAATGCTGTGGTGTCTGTAACTGCTTAGCTTAGCCAAATTATACAAGAAAATTAGTATGTACTGTCACTAGGAGCTGTTACCATGGTCCCTCAGTTAAGAGTCACCAGGCACTGGCCTATTTGCAACTGCACATAAATGTGAAGTTTCTTTTCAGTTTAATAAACGCTTAGATGATTCATGGTTCAGGTGTTATTTATCCTTTATCATAATATCACACAGCTTCCTGTCCGTCTGGTTGATGAAGCCAGATGCAGTAAGTACATTCTGACCCTGTGTGCTGTCTGTGTGTGTGTGTTAGAAATATGAGAAGCCCAAGTTCGTCCAGTGTTTGGCCTTCCTTAATAATGGAGACATCCTGACCGGAGATTCGGGAGGCGTCCTGCTGATCTGGACCCGCAGCACAGTGGAACCGGCCCCAGGCAAAGGACCCAAAGGTAGACCTATTTCTTTCTCTGTCTCTCTCTCTTCTCTTGCTCTCCCTCACTCCTTTTTTATTCTTTCCTCCTCCCCCACACTTTCTTGCTTTCTCTTTCTCATTCACACTTACACACATTTAGTCATGTTTTGATTCTGCCAGTTTTCTCATGCTGTAACCTTTGTCTGAGAAATATGAGGAACAGAAGAACTGAAGAATCAAGTTGTTTACCTTAGCATGTGATTATGCGTGTGTTTGCTGGCAGGTCTTTTCTCTCTGTAGTAATAGTTTCAGGATCGCCGGGGCTGGTGTGAAGCCTGCTGCCAGTTCTTAACCATTTATCAATTATTTACCCCCTGCGCTGCAAGCCGTAGTATCCTTTAGAGCAGTGCCTCCTACAGGACAAGAGTGCAACCTGCATTCTCGGTCATGGGACACTGAATCACTACTTTAGCGTTAGCGTCACAGCAAACATGACCAGATGCAATTAAGTTAAAAACTTTCAGTTGCGTCTGCTCGCTGTTGAACGCTTATGTGTGTGTGTGTATGTGTGTGTGTATGTGTGTGTGTGTGTCAGAGGCATAGCTGGAATTTCATTTTAGGTAGATTCTGGTTGCAGATTGGGGTGGCCAACTTTGAATGACCCACCGACATTGCTCCAGTGAGATTGTTGTTATAGCTTAGCCTATTTCATTGCAGCTACCATAACCAGAGAGAAAATGTTCACAAATTTAAACACAGCACACAATTGCTGACCTTGCATTTAACTGCCTACTGACTGTAACAACATGCCACAACAGTATTGGCTAATTCGCCTCAAGCATACCTTTTGCAGCACTAGGTGAAGATGTCTGGGATGGATAGCTGAGGACTGCAGTGTTCTCATCGATTTTGTGCAGTATTAAACTTTGTATGCTTTACTAAGTTTGACTTTACCACTTACCTAGCTCGTTATCTAAGTAGGTAGCAGCCTGTGCTTAGAGCTATCTCAGCTCAGCACGTTCCCACAATCTGCAGAAACACTTGAGTAGTGTAATGCTCTGTTTACATATTGGCTTTGGAAAAAAAAAAATCTTTGTCTTTTTGCAGATTTGATGTAGAACAGCAACTATGTATAATGCAGCCTTATAAACATTGCCATGGTGGTATTGGCCACTTAGGTGACAATGAAAGGAGAGCTTTGGCATTTATGATGAAAAAAAAGTCACGAGGATGCACGAACTCCTTTGGGTTTATTGTACATGAGAGGGCAAGACAAATTACAATGTATATTTTCATTGGCATTGGAGGACTTTTTTTTTGAGGAGCTTGAAATCTGGGAGGCCTGGCTTCCAAGTGAAGAAGCCTTGTTCTCTTCAGTCCCCTGCGGCTACACCCATGTTATGTGTGGATATGTGTGAGATTGTGTTGTTAAGGCAATGACTAGCTCTCTGCTGGCTGGGAATTATGTTAAGGAACTATATAAGGAATATTGTAAATATTATGTAATTATGTTAAGGAGTATTGTAAAAGATGTAACACATAGACAAGTCATTCTTAGTGCATGTGTCTATGCTTACATGCACCTATGCAAATTATGCTGGATGCATCTGTACTCCATATTGAAGGAGCAGCAAACAGCAGTTATTCAGTCACTTCAGATTCACTGAGGGGCTTTTCTCTCTGCTTTGTCTGTGTCGAGTGTTCTGGAAGACCCGACTGTCTACTTTACATCCTGTCTCAGTCTTTCGACAGCCTTTGTAGTTTGTGTCCTGTGCGTATGTGTTTGTATGTATTTGAGGTGTTTTGACAGAGTGGATGGCATGGCTAGGTCCTTCTCTTGCTTTGATTATATGCTACCAGCAGAGGCTTCGGCATTATTATACAGAGGGAGTGATAATCGGGAAGAATGTTGAGAATGCAGATTTTCACTCAGACATAGACTCGCACACACACATCCCTACTCTCCCTCTCTACCCCCTTGCAGATCCCCACTGGCAACACTAAGAGCTAAGTGCATGTCAGTGCCAAACCACATTAGCCATGAAAAGTATTTGTGGTATTCTCTTCCCAGAAATCACCGTCTGAGCAGTCTCCATCTTTCTTTTGTATTTTCTGTCTGTTTTTTCTACACTCCTTCTCTGATTTCTGTCTGTGCAAGCTGCTTTTCTCATTGTCAGAGTGCATTTCATCTGCCTCTCATCTCCCTCACCAGTACCATTTACCGTTTCCTCAGCAGACAATGGTGTGTACTTATGGTGTTACTGGATCAATTTGTCTCTCACAACACACTATGCTGTTGATTCTTTTCAGTCAGACTGAAACTAGTAACAGTTCTACCTAAGAGGAACTGATAATATATTTTTTTCTCTCTCCCCCTCTCTTCCCGACTCTCCCTGTCCCTGCTTCCCTTAGGAGCATTTCAGATCACTCGTCAAATCAAGGCCCATGACGGCAGTGTGTTCACACTGTGTCAAATGAGAAATGGCACACTGCTGACTGGAGGAGGCAAAGACCACAAGATCATCCTGTGGGACCATGACCTCAACCCAGAGAGAGACATAGAGGTGGGCTAATAGACCCCCCACACATGCACAAGCGCAACAATAGTTCATAAACTGAGGGATTGGCAACTGAAAAACACCCACACTAAGTTGCTGGCAAAGTGTATTAACATCTTCAGCATTGAGAAAGAGTTCTGTGATTTTTTTTAAACTTGGTCTGTGTTATCTCACACACACTCATGTGCCCACACCCACCACACTATAAAACACACTGTCTCTAAGTGAACATGCAGCCTTCTGCTCTTTTTCATTCTGAATTTAGTTTTAAAAATAAATAACTGGTCTGCAAGCAGGAACAAATGCAGCCTCCATTCCTGCTCATTGCTGATTCTCGCCATTGTTTTCTAGGTTCCTGATCAGTATGGAACCATCCGAGCCGTGGCTGAAGGGAAGGGGGAGCAGTTTCTGGTGGGCACATCACGTAACTTCATCCTGAGGGGAACATTCAACGATGGGTTTCAAGTAGAAGTACAGGTAAGACATTTCTCTCTCATACAGATCATACAGACTACAAAGCAGTGGATATAGGCTTCATGAGTGGAGACTAAAGGAAGGCACATTTAAAAAGTGTGCACTGTAGAAAAAAAAAATAATCTTAGCAAATTGAAACATTTTTATTGTGTGCATTATATCTGATATTTCTAATTTTGATGTTGTTATTACAGATTTCTAGACTTTTACTTAAGTAATTCTGTCAAGTGAAATGATCTCTCTGCACTATTGCTTATTTGGGAAACCTTTTGAACTTGATGTAAAAAGATCAGTGCAGTAAGATCATTTCACCTGATAGGATCACTTTACAGAAGTAAAATGACTAGACAAGTTAAATAACCTAAATATTTTCACCACAATGTCAAATTGAGATATATTAGATACATTGCCTATATTTAAGGTGCTTTCACTTGCCAGTATATTATTTTTTGCATTGTGAACGCTGCTAGAAGGCTATGAATCAGCAGCAACACTAGTTGCGTCATATCCGGCCAGAAGCTGAGTGGAGCAGTTGGGCTGTGATTTTCCAGACCACTCTGGCCACCCTTTAACTGATGTAGATTTTTTCCAGCCTTCTGTCCCAGTATAAACAGACTGCAGAAAGCATTCCACGCACTCTTTCAACGCTAGCCAACTCTTGCTACTGCCCCTTCCTGTTCTACGCAAGGACTTGCTTTAAGTGTGTGCATGTGTATACATGCTCTTATTTTCACTCCCTCTCATTTAAAGTAGCCTCACAACACCTTGAGGTTACATGAGCCATCCATTTAGTGTTTACATTGAATACTGTCATAATGGGCCTCGTATCTTCACACACAGACTTTACCAATGCCTTAGGAATACCTTTGTCATTAATTGCATATAACAACACAGACATAGATATCTTATCAGTATTGTCCCTGTCATTCTTGCCCCACAGGGTCACACAGATGAGCTGTGGGGTCTGGCCACTCACCCATTCAAGGACCTTTTCCTCACCTGTGCCCAGGACAGGCAAGTGTGTCTGTGGAATGCAGGGGACCACTCGCTGGAATGGACCAGACTGTTGGATGTAAGAACGTGCACATCCTTATACATATACTTGTACAAAAACATGGGCTAATACACACACTATGATACTTAACTGTCCTTCTACATTAGCTTGGAGAATTAACAAAGTATAGTATTTTTTGTTTATGCAAATACTACTGCTTTAAAAGCCATAATCATGATGCTGCTGCTGCTGAAGATGATGATGGTATGGACGATGATATGAGGAGCGATGAATTAATATTAAAATAGTGTGTCTCTTACTGGATATGACGCACGGACAGTTTTTTTTTGGAATGTGTAAACCAAAATCTAACTCACCTCTCCTTTAAGCAAATAGCAAAATACAGAATTACAAAAGCAGCATTTGTTATTGTGCCAAATAAAAAGAACTGAAATACTAACAGCTTTTTACATGAGGAATGCAAGCATTTTTTGTGCACTGAAATGCTGAGAAACAGTCAGCAGTGCCTCAACAGCTGTTTCTGTATAGGCTCCTAATAATATATTTTTATATATTTATTTTCATAAATATATATAAATTTTCCAAAAAGCTCCTTATGGTAAGGCATGCTTGTTGTGAGACAAGCTATTACTGCCTCACACACTTAAAACAGAGTGCTGGGTGTGAGAACTATTCTAATGGTTGATGCAGTAGTTTTTGAGTTGTGTGTGTGTTTTGTAATTTCACGTTTAGCCTAATGGTTAATGGCTGGCAATGTAATGACATTTCTGTGCGTATCAATTCTGTCATTGCAGCTCTTAATGATGTGTTTACTGCAGAAACTCATATCATGATAATGACAAAAATATGATTTATCATGCAGCCCTAGTATTGGTGGTAGTGATAAATGATGACAATGAGGATACGAGGACCTACAAAATGCTGATAAACACTATGCTGTCAAAAGAAATTACTCCTAGATTTTTTGTGTACTAATCACAAACACCAAAAATTGAAGGCAACATAAGAAACACAACATTTTAAAGTGTTTATCAGTATGTTGTAGCTCTTGTAGTCTTGAAGACAACCCTGCTTTGTCATATTTTCACAAAGGTTTTTAAACTGATTTAAAGGAACCTCCTCTTACACATTCATGGATTTTTCTTCTCCACACATTTCCCAACAAGATCTAAATGGGTTTTTTATATTGTGCACGGATTTCTTATGAACTGTGTGCCATCTTTCATTAACTTGCTGGAATATCACTCATTTGTAGTGAACAGACAGGATAAACAGTTGCTGACAATCAATATGTGACATGCAGTTCATGCATGTGAGCAGGTCTTCTTGACCGCCAGTGTAGTATTGATTGTAATAATAATGCTGATTATAATAATGATGGGATGGTTATTTATTTTATTTATTTATTTATTTATTTATTTATTTATTTATTATTATTATTATTATTATTATTATTATTATTATTTATTGTCATCTCTCACAGGAGCATGGCCACTGTGCGGACTTCCATCCTAGCGGTGCTGTGGTTGCCATTGGTACTCACTCAGGGAAGTAAGTCACTGTCCTGCATTCCCTTTTCACACCACAAGTCTGTAGTATAAAAGAATTTGCTTATGGTTGGTCCAGTTCCAGCAAGAGCCCTCTCTGTGTGTGTGCAGGTGGTATGCTCTGGATGCTGAGACTAGGGACCTGGTGGCCATCCACACAGATGGGAACGAGCAGCTGTCAGTAATGCGCTACACTATAGGTGAGTGAAAGATAGTATGTTTATATCTCTGTCCTTGAGACTCTACACACACTAGTTGAAACTCAAAAGTTCAAAACTCCCTTCTTACTCTCTGTCTTTTCTCACCATCTCTCCCAGATGGCACACTGCTGGCAGTGGGATCACATGATAACTTCATTTACCTCTACACAGTGTCGGATAAAGGACGCAAGTACAGCAGATACGGGAAATGCACTGTGAGTTTCTCACTGATGGCTAATCGTGTGTGCTTCTATGCATGAGTGAGTGAACAGGTGAATGCTGATGTTATCTGTCTTTATCAGCTCTTACATGGAAGCAGTGTGATGACTGTTATGATTCAGTGCTTGTGCTTTAATGTAATCAGCAAAAGTGTGAAGTTTGTGTGAAAGTGACTTCAGGTGACTGTTGACTGAGAACTTAAGCTGTACCAGGTTCAGTTTCCTTTTCAGGTATCGTAATGTCTGACATTTATGTGCATGTAGTTTGTGTATGTCTGAGAGAAAGACAGAGTCTGCACAGATTTGCTGTGATGAAGAACCAATTAAAGTAAATGTTGGTATGTCATGATGTTTGTATGGCAAATGTAGTGGTGATGTTCAGTGTACCCACTTTTTTGCACTTTTTTTCTTGCTGCATTCAGCCGCCTCAGATCCTTCTGGTGATCCTTCATCTGCGTCGGATCCTTGTGCTCGCCGCTGGTGTTGTTTCTGTTATGAAAATGAAGGAACCATATTGAACATATGTGAGGCAGTAATCTGCTGTTTTATATTTATTTTACTGTTACACAGAAGGTTACAGTGAGACTAAAATTTAGACTTAGACTTTTTTCGTGCTTTTTTTGTGCAGTCGTCCACGCAAACTACAAAATTGGCTCACTCAATCTCCCTAGCAAGCTAGATACATTAGCATGTAAACTTAGAGCTCTGTGTGATGTCAGCTTTATCCAGTCAAAAGCCATTGTTTCCCCTCTCTGTCTTCAGAGAAAGTTTTCTCCTTGCTGTTTGTGACAAAGACCAGTCTACCCTTATGTGATTGGCAATATGCAATGTGGCAGCCAGACTGATTTGCATAGAGTAGACATCTGCTGAACTTGCAGACACGTACCATTAGTCATATCTGAGTCAGATCTAGGCCATATATTAGAGTCATGGTTAGTGGTCTCTGAAGCAGTGAAATATAAGTGTTCTTCTCTCTGTGAAGTGGAGAGATCAGCAGAGGCAGAGGAGAGGTGAGTGTTTATGGAGCGTGACGCTGGACTGGCTGTGACCTGTTGCAGGTCTCACTGGGCTGGAACACACGAGGCGCTATGAATCCCACCTCTGTTCAGTCTGTTTTCTTTTCCCCTCTTCCTGCCAGCCTTTTCAGCTTACAGTGACTGTCTCTCCCTCTCTCTCTTTCTCTCTTTCTCTCTGTTAATCTCTCTGTCTTTTTAGGTCAACAAGAGTTGCCATCACTGATAAACCAAGTTACTAGCAAAAAGGCTGACAATCAGATTATGGTTATTTTCATAATCTGATGGACATGTCTATCTGCATCGTTGCACGAGTCTCATAGTCTATACTCGGATGCGGCCGTGTGTGTGTCTGACTCATTGAGAGCGTATCTGTGAATGTGACTTAGCCACCACAAAAGCCTCCGGTGACCGAGCACACTTTCCTTTTGATCTGGTTGGAAGACACAGCGTACTCGCACGAGACAAAAAGGAAGCAGTGCGTGAGCCACAGCACAAGGGAAGAGAGAGACGCTGTGGCGAGGGCGGTCTGTGGATTTATTAACTCTGGCAGATGGCTGGGGCCTGTGTCTCTGTAGCCTGCTTCCACTGTGCGCACACAAGAGCAGATACTGATCAAATGTTTAAAAGAAGTACAGCATGAACAGACAGGCAAAGCAGCAGCTATGTACACACATCCAGCTGCACGTACAGTTTACATATGCAGGGGACTGGAAACGGAATGCACAGCTGCATAATAAAATGTGTTGTCTCAGAGGGGGAGAAAGGGAGCGTATGTGCGTAGAATGGGGGGGGTGGGGGGGTGGGGGGGGGGTGAAGTCACAGCGCAGTTCTTTGTGGAACAACTAGCTATTTTGTTTCTGCCGATTTTAATTAATGTATGTAGTAGAGCTCTGCATATGTTTTGCATACGTACAGTTTGATGATGGTGCTCTCTGTGTGTGTATATGAATGAGTGCATGCATGTTTGCATTTGTGTGAGAGCGTGAGTCCAGCAGCTGTGGAGTGTCTGGCCCCAAGCTTGGCAAAATGTTACAGAAATTCCTCTGTATGTGTGTTTGTGCGCATGTGTATGTGTGTGCATCTGCATATCACAATTTTTCATTTTTTAGTTTTTGACATGAAAATCCCTGGTGCCCTTTACATTGTGTGTGAATTTCAAGATGAATGGACCAAAAGAAACTCAAAATGCCTTGGGGGGAAAAAAGTCTGATTCCATTGACTTACATTAAAAGTAAAGGAGGTTTTTTCCTTCTCCTGTAAATTTACCATTTTGGAGATACGAGGTTTTCTTCTGACAACAGCGATATGTGTATGTGAGAGGGACTATTGACACCAAGTGACTCAGAGTACATGCAAATTTAAGTTCCATCCCATAACAGTATGGAAGGAGTCTCCACTCCTCAGCTGAGAATCATCAGAACTTAACTCTGACCAGGCCTGTAAAAGAACTGTTAGGATCAGAGAGAGGACATATAGGGGGATACTGGTGGGTGGCAGTGGTCAGTGATGGATTACATTACAGCTGAGCACTTCCCATTGTTTTCTGGGAAGAGAGGTGGCAGTCTTGTCCAGATTATTGGAGCAATAGTGCAAAGAAGGCAAAGACAGCGGGGAAAAAAGTTATTTTATAGATAATTTCTTAATTTTATGGGGGGGGGCGGGGGAAGTAAATTCCATACCAATAGTCAAGCTACACTCTGACCTTAGCATTGAGAAGTTAGCAAGAGATACATCTAGTGGTTAAAAAACAAGAACATGAACATGGGTTGTATGGTTATTGCATTGGTCAAATGAGTTAATTAAAAAAAAACAGCATTAGGCCTTATTTTCACTGTTTCGTTATATTTCATTGAAATACAGAATTAGCCCACAGTTCATCATATGCACCGGTAACATGATGTGTACTTTGTTTGTGCCCAAGCCTATTATTTTCCTATTAATTTTTTTTTATGAATACATATATTACATTATTCTAGCATACCTCGTTTATGTAAATACATTTTCAGTGCATTAAATTCATTTTAGGCATTAATGCCTCCCAAAGTCTAAAAATGTCAGGTGTTGTGACCATCCAACCATATATGCATATGAAATAAATCAATAAAAGGGTAATTTAGTCACATAAAATTCTAAATAAAATGGTTGGGCATGATTTATGTTTGGCCTTTAAACCTTTAAAATAATGTTCCACAATAGGGCAGCTTTAAAAGTGTGCAGCTCATTGAAGAATGTTTTTGTAAAATGTACATTTTGATTTGCTAAACAGCCTTTTACAAATTACACTTAAGCTCAAATACTATGCTTTTCTGAACTATAAGCCTCTAAACATGCATCAAACATTAGGATAGTTCTCATACCCAGTGTTGTATTTTAAGTAATCACTGTCACAACAAACATATTTTAATAATGACATAAAAATAAATAATAATAATAATAAATAGTTCTCATATTCCTATATAACAAATAAATGTATATATGCACGAAATTGTCAATGCACAAAAAATGTGCTTGCAGTTCTGATGTAAGTAGCTGGTAGAATTTCTGTTTTATTTTGCAAAATAGTGAATAGTGCTTTTGTAATTTTGTTTTGTTGTTTGTTTAAAGGAGGTTAGTTAGATTTCTGTTCTGTTTACATCTAAAAAAGTAGTCTGTATTTGCATCACATCCAGTCATCATGTGCTGATATCCAACAACTTATATTATACGTACAGCCCTAAATGTGTGGTTGTACCACCTGTCTGGGTGGTAAAATTGATGGTCCTGTTTAATTTCTTTTGTACCATTAGAAAGACTATGAAACCAGTATTAGTATATTGAATGGGTTCTTGCAGATGCAGAAGTGCACATTGTAAAGTTTTTAATAAGAATGTTAGAAATTCATTTTGAAAGCCTTGGGACTGGGATACCAACTTCTCTGGACAGCAGGAGAATGAACACTTTATAAGTTAATGAAAAGTGACCCCCCTCTGGTGCTGTAAGGGCCGGAGACAGCTTATCTATTGAGAGAGCAGGAAGGAGAGGAAATAGCCTGCAGACTAAAGTTTGCTAAATACTAACTGATAACCTGAATTTGCAGTTTGTTTAGTCTATTTTTGCATATTTTGCAGGAGACGAATGTACAAAATGAATTTAGCAGAGAAGTTTGGTTTGTTTCTCACCAAAACTTTGTGTGTCTCTTTGTGCATGTGTGTGTTTTGTTTTTCCTCCTGCACAGGGACATTCCAGCTACATTACGCATCTTGACTGGTCCCCCGACAACAAGTTCATCATGTCCAACTCAGGAGACTATGAAATCCTCTACTGTGAGTGATCAGCTACAGCAGCATAAAGCACACTGACACAATAATCACAGTGTGTCTCACACAGCATTAATAGACATGACTTGTTATTTTGCTTTTTCATTGAATTCTGAATGAAAATTATGAGTGAAATTTGTGAAATTATAGAACAGCGTAATAATGATAATAATAATAATAATAATAGTAATAAATTACTTTCTCTCTCTCTCTTTCTCTTTCTCTTTCTCTTTCTTTTTCTCTCTTCTTTGCTTCCTTGTATTTTTTCCACTGCAGGGGACATTCCAAACGGCTGTAAGCTGATTCGTAATCGCTCTGAGTGTAAGGACATTGACTGGGCCACCTATACCTGTGTGCTGGGATTCCACGTCTTTGGTCAGTATTAACTGATGCACCATTATCTACTGATGATATTACAGAATTCATCACTGTAATGACTACCAGTTGTTTGGTTTTAGTTATATTGTGACCATGGCATTATCACAAATAACAATTTGACACAAAAGCGGTAGTGGTTTGTTGCTTGGATGGCAGACTGCTAAAGTGATAGTGATCATCTGCTCCCTTTAGTCACAACAATACAAGCTGAATTGGTAAATCTCAAGTTTTGAAAAAACATGACAGTTGAGAACTGACATCATATCGGTCAGTGAAGCACTGTAACTAAACTATTGGAGTATAAAATTAAAATATGAAAAATAAAATTACAGCGACAGACATTATCAATTATCAGAATTTTTAGCCTTTTAAAATTGGTATTGGTAACGTCTGTTAGGCCATAATATTTACTACTGCACCATAAATACTGTTCTCTCTGTCTGCTGTGTGCCTGGTTACTTGTTGAGGGGCTTTCACCTCATTTCACCCCATTATTATATGACCTTTATGCTTTCCTGTTTCTTTTTTCCTCATAAATTCAATTGCTTAGTTAAGGCCAATACCAGACCAGCTCTCCCAAAACTCACTTGTCTAGTCAGCATAGCAAGTCGTCTAATGTCTGCAGTTCAGCAGTAATACTCATACACATACACACACAGATTGTCAGACACACAATGATGTTCAGATGTAATTGCAGTGTCACCCTCCACCTCCACATATTTGAGCTCCTTGTTGAGTTGGAAAAATAGTTTAGAAGTGATTTACACGTTCCACGTCAGCCAGCCAGAAGGAGGTCTGAGACAGACACTCTCACTGATATCACTTTGCATATTTCCAAGACAGTGCTCAAGAGTCCGTGACCTGATCCAGATTCTGATACTGTCCCTGACAGAGAGACACATGTAGCCCATATGACCTGTGATTATCAAAACAGAAATGGAGCCTAAAACATTTAAAGCATTTACTATTGGTACGTCTTGTAGCATAGCAGGAAATTTTCAAAACCAGGCAACAGTAAACAAAAAAACAAAAAACAAAAAAAAACCTGCAGGAATCAAATTATAGCTCTTGAATAACTTTTAAAGATGTTCACTTTTTTAATTTGCTGACTGATAAAAACAGTGCATAGAAATGTGTAAACACAGACACGTGAATTGCCAGTTACGATAGAACTGATAAAAACTCATGGCCGGCTTTGCGTGCAGTAGATAGTAGTATCCTGTAAACATGTATAAGTGGAGCGTCTGAGACTTCTTCCCCAATTGTTCATTAATTGGAATTGGAAAAGCCTCTTCTACCTTTGACAAAGTAAGTGCTCGTTCGACACCACCGCCTTGGGTGCTTTCTTTACTGATCCACAGGTCCAGCTAACAGCTTGACCACAGAACACTAAATTATCTGTATTAACTGTAGTATTATCTGCAGCTTGTTGGAAAATCAACAGTGACCTCCTTCATCCACATTGTATCCACACAGCTAGCTAATCTGTATCTGGCTAATCTAGTCAGTGGCAAGCATCTAAACATAAACATGCTGCCAAGCAAATGGACCGTGGGCAGAGCATGCCTACGGTCACTAAAGAACACTTGCTTTGAGCTCTCAACTGAGAGGTGGATCTCTTGTCATGCAGAGGTGTCAGTTACAGAGAATGGATACTGAGGTGAATTAGGTCTTTGTTTTGGGAACGCTGCTGTATATCTATACACTATACAAGAAAATTACCGCTATCCTGTATTTAACTCTGTGATCAACCAGGTGCACTAATTGAAAGAAGATGCCCTTGGTCCACTGCCTGCTCTAATAAAACCAACTATAGCCAGAGTCAATAAAGAATGTCTGTCACCTTTGGCTCTAGATAATGAATAAATGGACAGTTGTCCAGTTGTTTTGTGGTTTACCTATGAAATAACACATATGGAATTATATAGCGATCATTAAAAACATATTATATGTTTTATTTTAGTTTCTTGAAAGTAGCCCACTTTTGTCTTGATATCAACTTGTAACTTGCAGCCTCTTCAGCAGCTCTATGAGGTGCCACCTAGAATGCTTTTCCAACAGACTTGAAGAAGCTCCACATATGTTGAGACCTGGTTGGCTGAATTAAAAAAAAAATAATTTTCATTTTGAAAGGAAATTCATACATGGGCATGACCTACACTTTTTTGTGTAGATAACAATTATGAAAAACAATCAGGTGTGTCTAAACTTTTGACTGTTTGTGTGTTTAACTTGTGTTTTAAAATACTGTTGCCCACATATGGTAAACAACGTTTGACTGTGTATATGTGCTTATGTATTTTTTGGTTGATATGGAACAGGAGTGTGGCCAGAAGGTTCGGACGGAACCGACATCAACGCCTTGGTGAGATCTCATAACAGGAAGGTGATTGCTCTGGCGGATGACTTCTGCAAAGTGCATCTCTTCCAGTACCCGTGCTCCAGACCTAAGGTCAGCACCATAGAATGAACTTACTCTTTAATAAGTTTTTTAAATAACTCTTCATTCACCTGGCAAAATGCACAATAGTATAATAGCATAGCATAAAATGACTTTTTATATTTAGTTTAGTTAGAAGTACTGTAATGTTTCTTGTTTTCATTCTTTCACTGGCTTCATTTCATCATTTCCTTATAGGCACCAAGCCATAAGTACAGCGCCCACAGCAGTCATGTGACTAATGTGAGCTTCTTGCACAAAGACAGTCATCTGGTATCAACGGGCGGTAAGGACACTAGTATCATGCAGTGGCGTCTGGTGGAGAAGACGCCCACCCTGGTGCCCAGCGACTCCAGCCTTGGCCTCACCGACTCCCTTCTGCACAACTCGAGCCCCCGCAGCCTGGCCTCAGTTCCTGCCATACCCCAGTCGCCCTCCGAGCCAGTGGCAGTGCCCGACTCTCTGCCCCTCGGTGACACGCAGCCAGACACCAACACGCCACCCCCAACACCCATTGAGGCCTTGGAGCCTACCCCCAATGGACAGCAGGAGGGCTCACCTGAAACCCCACCTCCTTCTGATGAGGCCACACCCACCTCTGACAGCACCCTGAGCCCAAAGGACAGCCTGGAGCCTAGCGATGACACAGCCACACCCAGCGATGAGGGCACACCCTTTAGCCCACCCTCATAAAGCTTTGTCGATGAGGTGATGGTGGCCTCCTGCACCTCTCCTCCTCCAGAGTTCTCTTGTCTGCTCCTCTTAGTGTGCTCCTCCCAGAGGCACTAGCATGTCACTGCACCCTTGCTGTGGCAGGTTGGAGTACATAAACAGAGGCTCTTTAAGTTTTACTCTTTTCAGGTTCTTTTTCTATTTCTTTAATTGTCTGTTAATTTGTCAGAGAGGGAGAAAAGATGAATGAAGTATGGTTACGTGCTGCCCAGGAGGAATCATACTCGGAGTATGTAGAAAGCCTTCGGAGATATGGAAACAGACACTAACATGCCTGTATACACTGATGCACACAAACACTACCACAGACACCATTTCACTCCCACTTACTCCATCTCTCTCAAACACACACAAAGACACATACTTTCTTTGGCAACTGTGACCTCTAGACACATTCTGGTGGGTAGAGATACAGTTCTTCAAAACCTTAAACAAATTTTGTTTCTTAGCGTACATGAAGTTGACAGCTATTAGCACCATACAGAGACCTACATACAAAAAACAGACCTACACACTCATACACAGAAAAGGGCACATACCAGGACAACAGAATTAGATTGGTGCAGTAAGTGATTAACTTTTAACATAGGATAAAATATTAATCAGCCATTATAACTGCAAAATAATACTTACTTTGTTGTAATGAGTAAAATTCAGTGTATGTTCATCTTAAGACTATAAATATGGAGTTTTAAAACTATTTTGTGAAAATGCCTGCATAGCATGTGTACCTGAGCCAAGAATTGTTTAAAAAAGAAAAAAAGAAGAAAAAAAAAACAAAAAAAACGCCAGGCAGGTATCCCTGGCTCATTGGCTGGACTCAACTCACTCACTGATTCCTTTGGCTTCTTCTCCATACAAGTCAAGCTATGCACAGTGATTAGCAAGAAGCTGATAATTGGCACCTCATAGAGTTACAACCATGAACAGCAAACCATATTTAACAACACAGCTGCTCTCTCTCTCACACACTCACACACAGTCACTTTTACCAATATGTAAACACAACATGGGGTCACTACACACAGGTGTGTAAGCCTGACCTGCCTCCACATACAGTTCTCCATAGGCATGGTTTGTTCTTGTTGTTGTCATCTTTTGCTGGACTCCTTGGTTTCTGAAGCTCTGTCTCGTGCACACAGTTCAGCACATCTGTATGAACATCATCCGCATGTGCAGAGATGGCCGATCGCCCAACCATCAGCTTCGATTTTTCTCCAACTGACCCCATCTGTAGTCCTCATAATCATATGCTGCATTTTTAGCCTGTTCCTTTTTCAGTTTGGACTGAATTGCTTTAGGTCGCATTTTGGGACTTTTTTGCCGCTCTATTCATTGGACTGAAATGTTTTGTTTTTTATTTTTGAGAGAAAAAAAGATTAAATGAGTCTTAAATGTGTGTGACTGTGTGTGTGTGCGCGCGCGTGATGTATGAGCTGATGTTTTTTTCGTCTTTCATTCCACAAGAGGGTGTTCACCTTTCCTCCCTCCTTCCTTCCCTCCCTCCCACGACAACTCAGGATCACTCACCTTGCCAGCAAGAGCATGTGTGAGAGAGAGAGAGGGTAGGAGGATATCTCTCATTTACCCTCCTCTCCTATCTCTCTCAGTGCTAGCATTTTCCCCTCACCACTTCAGCAACGCATTGTGTGAAGGAGAATAGGCTGAGTGATTAAAAAGATTAAAACGAGCATTTTGTGTTGAACCTTGACTACGGTGTGGACGCGCATGCCTGCCTGCAGAAGTAGCGTGCATGTCCCTTCACACTGAGGTTGCGTGTGTCCCCAGCAATACTTGAGAAATGCCTTTTTCAAGACTGCTGCACTAGCTCCTGACAGATGATGCCCCCAGACTTCTGAAGATCAGCTCCTGTGGCGGCATCTTCTGTACGGTTGCAGCATTGCAAGGTACTGAGAGGGATAGTTGTGGTTAAGCTGAATGTGTATAAAGGCATGAGGTCTGGTAGTAAAGCATGTTTTACCCCCAGACAGTAGAATCCACATGCAGTATTAAGAAGCCTGGATCAAATACATATTGTACACTGTTTGTGAACGACAGTTACATTTGATTTCATGACAGCAGTCAGTATTTGATGGTATTTAGTAGACTGCAGTGCTCTGTGTATGTATTTGATGCAGGTGTAGGTGTAGGTGAAGTGCATGTTTGAGAAGGCCACTGTGGCATTAGCAGTGTTTAAGAGATAGATGGAATGCAAAGATGATGTCTGGTTGTCTTACCAAGTCTTGCAGTGTGGTATATCACTGCAGCAGTGCTGTTGCTGCAGCCTCCCATCTCCAGCTGGTCTGCAGTTACCTTTTTCTAGTCCTTTTTTTGTATGGCCTTTTTGGATTGCTCCCGTTTTTAAATGTGTTTTGATGTTTGCTGAGAATGTCTCCGTTGGATTTTCATAGGTAGATTTGTATCTGCTTTTGCTGTCCTGTATAGCTTTAGTGCAAAATGGCACTGTTCCCTTACTCAGGGTCTGACCTTGTCACTCTCCTCTCTCTCTTTCCCCAGCTACTCATCACCTCCTCAGTAGCCCACCTACACACGTGCGCACACACACAAACACACACAGGGGCACATACTAGCAAACTATACTATAATCACATGGATTTAATAGGGAAAAAAAAACTACAGCAAACCATTTTCACAGTCTGCAGACGACAAGACGTCCTTGGCCTTTATCACATGGATGTCTCTCGTGAGCTTTAGGCTAACTTGAGGAGAGGTTTCCCAAATCGCCATTTCCAGACGCCATGTGCGCATTTACGTCTGGCTACTTTGTGTATATAGTAGTTCCTCTGTATGTATATAACTTTATGGGAATGCTTTCTTTACAATGCCTTGGCCATAATGAAGAGCATGTTTGGTTATTGACTTTTGGGGTAATGCTGGCGTCAGTGGTGCTGTGGCACAGCACGCTTCTAGGGAAAAAAAAAGAAAACCGAATCAGGATGAAATCTCAGATCAGCAAGTGCTGTGCTTGGCTCGATGAAGGCTCTTCCTGGATGTTGCTTGGTTTGGAAATGCTTTTGATATGTTTTTGACCCAGTGTGTGCCTCTAGGACCCTTACTGATGAAACTGTTGTTTTTCAGTCCAGTAAAGGTGACTTAAGACAACTCGGTTACCTGACATGGGTTTGCCAAAGGGGCTTTAAACAGGAATGTTTCTTGAATGTCGCATAGTTGAGTGGCCTTGCCATGTGTCCTCTGTGAATGGGTGTGGAATATGGGCGTTTCCGTGGCTTATTAAGTCTTCTGGGTGGAAAGTATTGGTTTTTAATTGAAGAGGTGATTTTTTTTTTAAGATAATAGTTGGATGTTCTTATCTGGTAGTACCTTCCTACAATTGAAATAGTGCTATGGATGCATCCATAGACGGCTTCTGTGCTTAGTGGACACGTCAGTGTCCAGCCTTTCAGTGACCAGACTGTTTGATTTCTAAAGGTCTGTATTTCTGAAGGGCTCTTACAGTCTCCCATCTCTGCGTGAGATGGGCTCGAATCCAAAACACACGGGGAGAGAGAAAGAGGAGGAGAGAGGGAGGCAATGCAAACTGGAGTGGAAAAATACAGCTCTTCTGGAATGGTCTGGATTCCCAGCCAGTGATTGTTTCCACACTAGAACCCTGGACTCAACTTCCCAGAATGCTTTGCAAATTGCCAGTTGTCTGATCGAATCCTCATTGAATAGAAGGGTGGGGGAGGGAGCCGGCTTTCGTACGAAAAACTTTTTGTGATAAAAAGAATGAAGATGGTAATGAAAACCATATCAATGATGATCATAATGATAAAAATGATATGTCAATAAATATGAACTCTTTTTTTTCTTGTAACAGTGTTTGAGCCAATCTGTCTCTCATGCATTCCTGTCTATGGGCAGAAATAAAAAACTGAAGATTTTAGAAAATAAACAGTCATTTTAAAATGAGGAGTTTTTGAGTGTTTTTGTACTGGTGAAAATTATGTCTGATTCATATCATGAATGTCTTTAAAAGCTACCTCATGGGAAGTTATTGCATAAAATATTTACTAATATGTTGCCTGATAGCCATTAAACAGTTAACAGTTAACTGTAGTTTAGATACGATTTTGGCCTAAAACATTTTTCAAAATAAGTTCATTGCAGATAGATACATGCAAGGCGTTGTAAGGCTAAATAGACCTAAAACTTTTTTTTTTGTCTCCCAGGTTTACCACTATTTATTATCAACATTACACACAAACCAAGTGTAGGTTTACTGGGGGTTTTGGATGGTGAGAGGCTATATTTGGACAGTAAATGGCTATGTTTGTGTTGTAGACATCACAACCTCTGGTTCCAGTCACCACCACTGTAAAGAAACCTGAGCTCCTGAGTTTCACTAAAATGAACCTTTGCACATGTAACCACTCTTTTGTGTTCATTTTATTTCATGATTTGCAGGTGATTTGGTGATGGTGTGTGCATGTGTCTATTCCTTTGTATGCCATGTTCAGGAATCCTGCAATCACACAAATTTATAAGGTTTCAGTTCCAATAGCTCTCCTGTGCAGCTGAAATGGGTAGTGTACAAACTAAGTAATGCATCTGTAGGAGGGGGATATGAGTTCACGCTGGAGAGCAGAGCCACCCTGACTCAGCAAGACAGCCTGTTCCTGCACTGCGCAAATAAACAGGCCAAAGTCCAGCTCCCAGCAGGATGAGGTCAACCAGTATGTCTATCTGGACACTATATTTCAGGAGAAGTTTACACACTTGTAAATAATCATACACATGTATTCTCAATGCATCATAGACCCATGACTCCTATGGGAATGATTAATATTTTTTTTTATTATGATACAGTATGTTTTAATAGTAAAAAAAAAAAGAAAGAAACAAAAGTGATGGCAATTAAAGTAAGAAAAGTTTTCTTCTCCCAGTTTTTTTTTTTGTTTGTTTTAAATACACGTGATTTCCAATTTCAGTCTCTAGCTCCCTCTGTTGTTGAAATTATGCGTTGCAGAGATTTGTCCTGCAGCATTTCCAATCTGGCCTTTGACAGAATTCCAGTCTAGCACAGCCCTTTTCTCCAGATGCTGAAAGACAGAAGTACGTGTTTATTAATAAATAGATAAAAAAATAAGTGTGTGTACATATATATATATATATATATATATATATATATATATATATATATACATACACACATATATATATATATATATATATATTGTGCTTTAAGATAATGATAAGAATGGTGCAATGATGCTTACATCTGGTATAACACGCCTGAGGCACTTTACTTGTGCACTGCAGAACCTGGTGCCTCACCATCAGGTAATCCTCCCCATAGCACTGGATTTTGAAGTCCGCTGTAAAAGAGATGAGTTAAGATCCAACCATGAATTACACTTCACTGTTCTGACATGCTGTTTGATTTATTTATGCCTTAAATCATCATTTGTTTTCACTTCAAATTACAAAGCGATTATTCCTACAGCGCTTTACAATATCAACTACAGCAGTTTTAGTAACTGTGGACCTCAATCACCAATTTATTCCTAAGTTCTTTCTTTAAATGTAATGTTATAACTGAAGTTTGGGGGGAGGAACATGCCTGAAACCTCTCCTTCTTCCGATCTAACGCTCTATAAATTCACATCCTCGCCTTCCATTCCTGTGACAAAGTGCTCGCAATCCCCACTGCCACCCCATCTCCTCCCTGATCCTCAGTGCTACATCAGTCCCCCTCCAGCTATGAGGGGGTCTGGCCTTCTAGCTAGAGAAGTTACCCAAGTTCTCAGAGTTCTCCCCCCACCCTCAATCAGTCTTCTCTCATACTACCACCACCATGTTGAAAGCATGGTCTGAACTCATGAGAAAAGTCCTAAGAAAAAGTCTACGTCAGATTCGTGCCGTGTTCCTAAACGTCAGAACTATTCACACCTTTGAGTGTGCAGATTCTGTCTTAAGAGTCTTAAGAACGGTTGGTGAACGAGGCCCATTCTGAACTTTTAACCATTAAACTATAGTTACAAACACACCTGATCTGACAGAATGAAAGAAGTTGCAGTCATTAAATGCTTATACGTACCGAAGCAGACTGGCAGCAGCAGCAGCAGCAGAAACCAGGCCTTCATTGTAGCGTTCTGTTTATACCTCCTTTTTCCTGATAGACAGTTCACTGAAATGCATGAAGAGCAGAGAGCACTGTCACCTTTATACACTTTCAGAGAGACTGAGGGACGCGTACCCAAACACACACACACACTCTGAGTAAACAGCCTTATCTCCTAAAGGTTATGACTGCGCAGTAACATAGGTCATGTTCCCAGTGGAAGAGAACGATGTTGAAATGTGTCGTCCTTTGAAGGAAGCATACGGGGGCGATTGAGGGGATTGTAAACTCTTCGTGTGACATCACTCTATGTAAATGGTCTGGTCTCAAATATTGCTGAGTCATTGTGTAGAGCACAATGGAAAGCTTAGACATGGTTTTACTTCAAAGGGTTCTTTTCATTTTGCATTGTGCTTGGAAATGGTATACACTATGCGTCGGTTTCCAGGGATTAAACCTAATCCTGGATTGCACAACATCCTGAATGGAGATTTTCCACTGAAAGAAAATATAGCCTAAGACTGGGCTTAATGCCTAACTGGGAAACCATCTCCACATGTCCAAAGGTTTAGAGACACCTCTTATTCAACGTTTCTTCTGAAATCAAGCGTATTAATAGGGAGTTTGTTCCCTCTTTGCTGCAGCAACAGCATCTACTCATCTGGGAAGACTTTACACTAGATGTTGGAACATTGCTGTGAGGAATTGATTGCAGCCACAAGAGCATTAGTGAGGTCAGGTACTGATGTTGGATGATTAGTTCTGGATCACTCCAACTCATCACAAAGGTATTGAATGGAGCTCCATCACCCCAGAAACACAGTTGGGGGGTTTTATACCCCTCTAGCTGACGATTGGCATTAGGAATGGTGACCTCAGTCTCATGTGTGGCTGCTCCAGAGTGTCCCATTCTATTGGTCAATGCTTTTCTGTGGAGATTATACGGGTGCACAATTGAACCCCTGTGTCAGTACCTTAAAAAAGCTGAATTCACTGTTTAGAAGAGGTGTTTAGATACTTTTGGACATATAGTGTTGGATAGGAAGTAGTTCTGATCTGCACAGACACCCAACTTGAAGTACTGGACAGTACTGGAGAGAAATCATTGCTGTCAGAAACAAAACCTTGTATCACCATTTTATAGATTTTATACATAATTTGAAAACAGCAGCCCCCCTTTTACTGAAATGGTCCAAAATTGCTTGGAATTAAATATTGTCACATTGACTTCCACTGTGAGTTAAGAATGTTTTCTGCTTCTCCTTTAAAGTTATCATTTTGGACCATTTTTTTTTACAAGGATTTGTTCCAACAGTAACAGTATATGGGTTAGTCTAATCTTCTACCCCACTCTTATCTAACAAGGTTAGCCTGATTCCTGTATATATGTAAGGACAACAATCTTCACTCCTCATTCCAATGTTAGTTCCAGTTACTTCTGTCTGAATCTGTGTTGTGCAATAGGTCTAATTCTCTCAGATGTGCCCATATTTTGGCATACTTTCACATAATGTTTGTCAGTGCAAAGGTTCAGAGTCTGAACTCTCTATCAGATTCAGCGCACAGATCTCTGATAAGCAGGCTGTTTCTGTGATGCAGGAACATGTAGCACATTTGTCTCTCATTTCTGGTAACGAGGTTTGTGTTAGCTGTATAAAAATGCTTGCTCATGGTTCTGATGTGTTTGTGTAGGAGGTATAGTGAGTTCCGGTTGATGAAATGAGCTGAGTAATACCTGTGAGCTCTGAGGTCTGTTTGTCTGTCCTTCTTTTCAAAGGTTTCACTCACACTGAGTCACTGTGTTTGCTGTGCTGTGTTTAAAGCTAAATGGCGCTTGAAGAGGGTGATATTTCAGTTTAGATCTCATGTTTTACACCAAGTAGTTTAGCAGTAGCAAGTCAAGGTGACTAGACTTATGCTATAATAAAGCTAATGGAGCGCTCATCTGAAGGCCTTCCTCAGTTCAAATGAGTGGTGGAAGAAAAATGTATTACAATAATATAATATAATATATACTATTATAGTATTAATTATGATCATTATTACTACTAGTAGTAGGAGTATATTAATAATATATTATAATACTATGTTATGTATAATATATATTTGTATAATACTAATACTACTAATAATAATAATAATAATAATAATAATATTTCCTCTTATTTTAATGAGCTTGGAGTGAGAAGTAATCTATATATAATACACTTTTGTTGTTTTTGTGATTATTCTTATTCTTATTATTATTATTAATTACATTTTGAATCTTGTCAGAAAAATGTTGGAAGTACAAAGAAACATTTCTCTACAAATTCCAAATGTATTAATTATATACAATTATACATTAATTATGTCATTATTTAAATTGCATATCAATTTTAAAGGAAAATGACTCTACAGGTCTAATAGTTAGTGCTAATGGTTGAGCTGTAAAAGGTTGATTCACCAGGATCTCACTGCCTTTTTGTGATTATTATGGAATTATTATGGAAAATCCTTAATTTTTGCATATTTGCAATATTTTCATGTTTCTGTTTTTTTTTGTGAGGGTAGTAGGTTGTAGGCCTGATATATTTCTTTAACTTGTTTTAAATGCAGCCTACATAGTTTATGATTAAAAAGCAAAGGAAGAGCTCTGTGTTTGCTGTAAACTGTGAATAAAGTGTGTCTCTGAGAATCGAGAACATATAGACTAAAAAGTGAAAGTGTCTTATATTGAAATGATGTAATGAAACTACTTATATACAAAATAAGAATCATATTGATTCCAAATATTCAGGAAAGGTGAGGAAAAGAAATAAAACGAAGGGCTCTCAAACTTGTTTTGGCAGAACATGCAGTAGCGCTGTATGACTGAACAAGGCCATAATAAGTATGATAGCTAAAAATCATTAGCACAATATTTTCTTCTAATCAACAAACTGAGATTGTCGATTATATCGCCCCCACTCCCACCAGCTCTCCGCAAAACACACGCAAATGTTCCGCACAGCACAACATGCTGACGCTTACAATAATCGTGAAAGCACTTTACAATTTACACACGATGTGGAAATAAAGCGGTAATGAGACACATTTATTAGCCCTACAAATATTGTGAGGGTTTGCTGAACTTCGTGAACACAAATATCAGGAGAGACTGATATATGATTAAAGAAATAATAAATTAAAGAAATTGAAGTCACATGACAGTCTTTGAAGTCTAGCTAGTATTCAGACCTTCTCCCCTTTAGGAATGTTTATTCCAATGAGACAGACGGAATTCTTCATGCAAATGTGCCATAACTTTTGCACAGGCCACACAAAATGTGCAGAAGTGTGTTCTCTGTAGCAGATGTGATAAACAACAAAACATGCCAATGTGAGCAGGGTGCCCAAACTTTTGCATACAACGGTAGAAGTGCTATGTGAGTCGAGCTGAGTAGGCCCACATGTGTTGGGTCATGCGTTTATGGAGTCTCACTGACTCACTGAGTTTATGCGCTCTTCATTATACTGGACTGCATTTGTTATGTTGCTCCTCTCATGTTTGGCTATGAGTCTTTTGGGTTATGTGACTTTGTCTTATTGTCTCACTGGGTTTGAAACACACATGAATGTAATGTCAAGTCACATTTCTCAGACTGTCTAGACACACAGGGGAGAACAGTGTTGCTCTGCTTTCCTTCTCTGCCTGTCAGTCTGATGTTTTTGCCAGATCTCATTGTTGCTTTGACGAAGGCCTAGTTGGGGTTGTCCATTCTCAGCCTGGAGTTCTACTCACCTTCAGCTTGTGTGCCAGTGGATAGTAGGAATCACAGCAAATCATCGCTGTCATGACAGAACCTTTCATCTCCATAGTGGTGACTTCACTGGACAAGGGAAAGGCATTATGTAATGCTACATTAATGGAAGAAGATTGTACATTAACTGCCTTTTTCAAATAGTGTTTAAAAAAGACTTTAACCCAGTTGTTCTCCAAGTTCCTAGGTTTTATTCCCAGGGATTTTCTTTTTATTTATGATGGTAGATAAATGTAACGTTCACAAGCTTTTTCACCATCTTATCAGTCTTATGTCTGAGTCTTCTAGATCAATGTTTCCCTTGTCCAGTACAGTTACCAGTTACCAGGAGATAAAAAGTTGTGTTATGACAGCGTAATCTGCTTTTTGAGTCCCGCTATTCCACTGTTTGATTCCAGCTATTATGGCACACAACTTGAAACTGTAACTTTCTTTGCACATACAGCTCCACAGACATCCACTGTGCCAGAAGTCAACTTGCCTTTCTTCTTGCTTCTAGTACCCTCAGTTATAACACCCATAGAGAGCACTTCCCTCTCCTAGCATCCCATAAATAATCCATAAATGAATGTAGCAATCCTTTATAGATGAGAACCACAATTCTCATTACTTTTAAAATGAAAGAATGGTGTGATGGAGACTAACATTAATCTGAGCCACTTCTCTGGGTATAATTCTGTAAGTGTTGTAGTTGATTGAATATTTCAGGGATATTTCTTTGCCCACTCACGGCAGAAAGCTGCGATCAATTACTGTAATCTATAGTACACAAGCCTGTGGAACAGTATGGGGCAATATTTCCACCTCTGGCGCACCGGCATAATAATTTTAAACCAATATCTCAGACTCTGAATGGTTTTAAATGAGATTTAGACAGCAGTGTTTTGTCTCACAATGCACCTGTACAGCTTGAGAACACAGAGGATACATTTAAAGGAGAAAGTGATGGCAGCGTGCACAAATGTGTGGTTAGTTCTCACATGAGCAAATGACTTTTATTTAAACTTTAATTTAACGAGGCAGGTTATTAAGAACATATTCTTATTTACAATGATGGCCTGGCAAGCAGCAGAAGACACTTGAGGAAAAAGGGAATTGAAGACTTAATGAGCTCTTTTCTTACAAGATTATTGGTCCAATACTAGAAGCCATAACTTAACCTTGAATCCAGTTTCAGCTCCTGGATTTTGCTGTAACTAGTAATTGTGACACTGTGAGGCCAATTAGTTATATCAACAGTTCAATACAAGTGATTTCAAAATTCAGGACTGGAATTAGATTCATGGTCTGGATTCGAAGACTTCTGACATCGACTGTTAATGATGATGATTAAATCGAATAAATTGTGCAAGTTAATTCTACAGTTTTCCTAAATTTCTATCTACCTACACTCTTAAAACTAAGGGTGTCAAAAAGAGTGATGCCACCAAAGAACCACTTTTGGTTCCCTAA